AGCTAACATCCATGCTAATCCTCCTCTTTTTGCTGAGGAAGACCGGCCCTGAGCTAACATCTATTGCCAATCCTCCTCCTTTTTTTTCCCCAAAGCCCCTGTAGATGGTTGTACGTCATAGTTGCACATCATTCTAGTTGCTGTCTGTGGGACGCGGCCTCAGCATGGCCGGAGAAGCGGTGCGTCGGTGCACGCCCAGGATCCGAACCTGGGCCGCCAGTAGCGGAGCGCGCGCACTTCACCGCTAAGCCACGGGGCCGGCCCATTGTAACAGTTTCTGATCACCTCTCATCTCCCAGTGAACTGATGACACGCACGGCACAGGCTGCCACCAGCACATAGAGCACACGTGGAGGAGCACAGCTCCAGGTTGTCTTGGCCTGATGAAAGTTTTTTTTAAACTACTTTGTTAAGGTTAATTTATATATCATAGAATCCACTTAAGTATGCAATCCAATGATGTTTAGTAAATCTACTGAGTTGTGCAGTCATCACTATAAACCAGTCTAAGAACATTTCATCACCCCAGGAAGAACCCTTGTGCCTATTTGCAGTTAACTGCCATGCCCACTGTTGGAAGATTTCAGTAGGAAAGTGACATAGTCAGATCTGTATTTTGGAGAAATTTCTCTGTAGTCTGAAGCAGAAGATGGACCTGAGGGTGGCAAGGTTAGCGGCCAGGAGAGTCTTAAACACCCTTCAGTTCAACATCCATGGTATAGTCCTTTCAGATGTACCACGAAAGCAGCCACAGACAATATGTAGTGGATAGATGTGGCTGTGTTCCAATAAAACTTTGTGTGCAAAAACAGGTGGTGGACCAGATTTGGCCTCCAAATGGAGGGTTGCTGAAACCTGATGTAGGTGGTAAAGCTGAGGTCCAGAGATGGACAATGAAGTCCACGAGCGCACAGCAAATCATTGGCAAAGCTGGGACCAGAACCCTGATGTCCATGTCCCAAGACTCTCCCCCTCTATCACTGAGTATAAATGTCAAGTGTCTCTGTAAGCCCATGGATACCCCCAGGGAGGCCTTAGGGTTCCAATTAGAAATCCCCTTTCTGGAGTCTGATGCAAATGGGTACAGGATGGGGCCACAGGCACAACTGTAATGAGCAGTAAAAGTGACCCAGGAGAGGGCCAGTCCTACTATTGCCTGTGTTCTTTGATGGGTTATAGAGGGAAAAGAAGGACATTTCTTAGGCATCCCCAATGTCCCAGTGGTAAGCACATTGCCTCTCATTTGTCTATATAGTAACTCCTGTGTTGGGTAGCAACATGTCCTCTGTTCTCAAGTAGGGGAAATTATTGGTAAATTGAGGTCCCCATAACCCTGCCCAGGTCCTCTGGCTCCAAGCTCAGTTTCCCACCTTTGGGGAAAAAAGCTTGCCTATTCTGAGAATCTTCCACTTACTAGCTGCATAATTTTGGATGTATCCGTCATCGTTCTGAATCAGTTCTCTCATTTGTAAACTGGAGAGAGTAAGAGGTACAACGAAGGGATCTTCTGTGGATTAAGATAGCATATATATAACGTCATGTCGGGCTTGCAGTCGGCCTCAGCAATTGTTGGAAGGAAGGGAGGAGGAAGAGAGGAGAGAATAGAAAAGAGGAAAGAGGAAGGAGGCCTTCTTTAAAGAAATACCCACTGTGGTTGAGCTGTCCCTGGTAAGCTCTGAGCCGGCCTTGTGATAAGCAGCCTTCTCTGGGAGAGTTTTCTGATTTCCAACTTGTTGGCCACTACAGCATCATTACATTGCATTACATTTCCTCTGCTCTGAGCTTTGTGGTGAAAAAGCCACTAACGTGCTGAGAGCAGCAGTTTAGAAAAGACATGTGTATCTCTCTCTGTCACACACACAGCCACTAATGGATAGTCCCATGGACACACACAGTCGAGCCCACACAGGTGTGCATGCACCTGCACACTCCCAGACTCAGCACACACTCAGGGGCCCCCACCCACACATACGTCTGGGGGAGAGAGAAGGGGACATATCAGGAGATTCAAGACGCTTGCAAAATGCGTTTTAAGATTCACCAGACCCCAAGCTCTGGTCCTGCATGTATAAGTCTGAGGACAAATACAATTTTGTGTCCAGCAGTGTTGGGCTTCCGATCCTGGTGCCTTATGTATTCATTTATTAAAGTCATATTTCACAGTCCTAAAATTGACTTTTAGCTCTGTAATAAAAGGGAAATTTCATCTTTCTTAAGTGGCCTTTCTGTGCCAGGCCTTCAGCAGGGCCTGGGATGAGATCGTCATTCTCCCCACACCTGCCTCCTCTCAGGAGGGCGGGGGCTTGTCAAATCCACTAAGCTCTGCTTCAGATCGCTGCCTCTTTCCAGATAATATTAATTCTATTTCATGTTTTTAATGATTTTGAACTTTTCTCTCTCAAGATTTAAAAAAATAAAAGAACTTCTATTGATTTTGCAGCTGCCTGCTCACTCTATTGTCCATCACCTGCCTTGGTGGAATGACCTTTTTTTCAGCACTTGTAAGTGCTGTGTAGACACCTGAAATTTAGGACTCACCTGACTTGGATTCACCTAGACTTAAGCCCGGTCCCTTTTGCAGGAATTCCTCTGGCATGAGGCACTCTGTAGGTTTTGTAACTTCATGCACAGTTCAGGAGGGTGCATCACAGGAAGGGGGCCACTCTCCCACCCTTCGAACTCAACCTCATCTCCTCTCTCATCCACCCACCCCTCTTTCTAAGCAGCAAACCCTCCTCCCTGTCTCATTCATCCTCCTTGGGCTGGTGTGGGAAAGCGTTTCTCTCTTGATTTCACCCTAAGCCATCCTTCCCCATGAAAATGTCTACGGTCCTCTTCCTGAGAAGAGTTCTGGTGAGCCAACATTTTTCTGTCTCTTATCTTTTGAGAAAATATCTGCAGCCTCTTGAAATTTTTGCTAAACAAATTCTCTGCTCAAGGACTGCAGAAGGCGAGGATAAAATGCCAGCCCCCATAAATCATGTCCTGACATATCCACACCCTCCCCCAAACGTGCACACCACCTGCGTTGTGGAGGGGTTGAGGGTGACTCATCTCTGAGCCTCTCTTGGGAAATTACTTCCTGGCTTTGCCCAGCAAGTCATGCACCAGGAGAGGTTTGTGCCTTTCCTTGCAAGCCTCATCCCCCAACACCAGGAGGTCCCTAAAGTTCCAGGGGAGGGGGCATGTGTAGTTGACGGTAGGTCCGCATGGCAGAATGTCCTGCAGAGAAGTTGGGATTCCTAGTCTAGGCCTTCTATTCCAGTCCCTGCACTACAGGGTCCCTGTCTCCATACACTGACATGGAGCCCCACTGGGTGTTGGTGTGGCCTACTTCTGCCGCCCTCCCCCTCACCCTCCCTGCCTCTGTAAACAGACAGCACTGGAGTAGCCTCCGTAGTTCTTTACTTGCCCCTCTGGCTCTTCTCCCATTCCTGACTTTCATTCCTCAAGGGTCTTCCTTTGAGTTTCCTTGTGAATACGCTTGGCTTGAAAATGACCCTTGTCCCTTTCCTCAGCACACCTGGGCGGGTCCTTCGATAGAAGGTCCTGGCATTACCTTGTCCCCTTGTGGCGTCTGTCCTGAGAACCTGGAGCTGGCTAGGTACTGGATGGGGTCTTCCTGACCAGGGCTGCCATGCCAGAAGCACACTGATGAGTGCTCATTTCCACCCGAGGCTGCAGGTGTCTTCTGGGGCACCTTCTGACGTGAAGAGAGGGCTCCGATGATCCACATTCACCAGAGCTTTTTTTGGCTCAGGGGCTCGAGCTGCAGCTATTTGCCCGCCTTTCCTGAACCACAAAAGGAAGCTCTATTCTGCTGTTCGGTTTGTTTGAGAGGGCTCCCTCTTGTTTCATCAACAGTGACAATTCGGGGGACCCTCACATCTCTCCTGATGTCTGAATGTCACTGGTGATGCTGCTGGTTCCCTGTGAGCTGCCCCTTCAGCATCTTGCTGCAACCAAACCTGGTTGCTCTGATCTTGTTCCATAGCACCCTGCCCTGTGGCTTCTTCTAGAAGCTCCTCAAGGCCTAACTTGCA